GTAATTCACTTAGTTCAAGGGTGAAGAAGCACAAATATTAAGCAAAAATCCTCTAAAGAACGTGTTTATCGATTATGTTGTTTTAATAACACATCAAACCGAATTTTCAACTGTTGTGTTCTTGTGAAATCTTTATTTATCTCGAAATGTGGCCGGTTTTACTGGTACAGTATCGATAAAAATTCTAGTTGTAAAGGTAAAAGTCGACTGAAAGAACTTTACAACTTCTCAAGGTGTTTTCGGTCTCTCTCAAGGTGTTTTCGGTTGAAATTGTAGGAAAACTTCCGAAAAGTCAGGGAGAGATCCAGAATAGCAGTCGCCATCCAACAATAGTGAATAGTTTTTCGAATTATCGTGTCTCATTTCAGAGGATGCTAGAATTTTTATGATTTCTAATGAGAACTGAGATGAAGAAGGCAAAACCATTTACTAGACCATACACTTACATTGCCAGATTCGGCACATTCCGAGAATGATCTGTCTCTCAGTCGCAGCAGGGTATTGTTTCTTTCAATCTACATACAGTTAAGATGCAAATAATACCGACAGATGAGACTGTTACTTTGGGTCTGCATTTATACAGATCCGCAATTTCTTAATTACAGCAGGAATACTATTGGTCAAGGAATTTGGCTCTGTGCCTGTGGCTTTTAACATTCAGTTTCTAAATTTATTGTTTTGTATGTGATCGATGAAAACAAAAAAAAAAAAGAAAATTGAAGCTCATTCCGCTATATTGGAGAGCGTTTTTCATTTGGACACTCTGAAAAAGCAAGATGGTTTCAAAATTCCGAATAGCTTATTTTTGGTGTGCGTGCCGTAAATCTTCATACTAAATATTTCAACTATGGCTCTTGGCATACTAAGACAGACCACGCTCTTTCTTTAGATCTGACAAAAGGATACGGCTAATCCTTCAACACACCATCTGTACGCTTCTTCAGGCTTATTCAGCTCAAGACAGGCACTTGCTCCTATTCAAAATAACACATAGAATTCTGTTAGACCGAATTCATACGGAAGAGTTTTCTCTAATACAGTTTTTCTTCGCTCAGATGAAAAAAAAATTTTAGATTTTTTTTCCTTGTGCACTTTTGAAACAAGACATCTTTTGGAGGAAAACTTATGAAATTATGAAAAGAACTGTGCTACATGTGGAAATATCAAAATAAATATCCCGATGATTCTTAAAATTGTCCGTAAGAGATAGAAAATTTCCTCGTGCACTTTACTTCGAAAGATGAGTATCAGCAGCTTTTAAT